TGAGGGAAAACAAGGTTTATTATAACAAAAAACTCATGAGTGATGTCCAGACAAAGTACAAATCAAAGCTGTGGAAAACTGTGAGCAAAGGCAAAGTAACAAAATAAAGAACAACAAGACTAAGGCAAAACTATGACTGACAAAGTAACAAAATAAAGATTAACAAGACTGTGACAAAACTGTGACTAAGACAAAAGCAAACCTGGCGTGGGGGTGACGAAGGACAAGACGGACTAGAACGCACTTGCACAAGACAAGGAGAAACGAGGACTATTTAAACACATGAGGGAGGGAAACCCCAGGTGTACACAATAGGTAATCAAGACGAGACGAGACACCAGACGTGACAAAACCAGGATGCAGCTGGATGAAATACGCCTCAGCATCAACTCTAAAAGGTTGAGGGTTATACTTGCTAACACTGTGTACACAGGGATGCATTCTGCATCTAATTTGCTCAGAGTAAAGATAAAAAATAAATAAATAAATTCATAGAACCATCTTGAAACATATGTCCATTAAAAAAAAGTTGAATAGCCAATCCTCAGTAACAGACATCTGTTGGGACATCCAGCACCTCACAGGTGTCACAGGGGCTGCTGTCTGGAATGTGTTGGACATTTCCTTGTTTTAACACCTCTGATACACATCAATGTGTCGTTCCAGGCCTGTGCAGCGCTTACCAATGTTTTGAAGCAGTCAGTTTAATCAGAATCGCGCGTGTAGAAGCAGGGAAATGTTTAAAACCTGTAAGACCGCTGCCCTTGAGGATTTGCTTGACCCTGCTGTAGCTTATGGTTTAATCACACGCATTTAGGCAAAGATTCCAAAATGAGCAAACAGTGCAACAAAATGACAATACTTTTCACTAGTTCCCTGATTCCTTATCTGCAACGATTGTATAAAGCAGAAACCTTTTATAAACCATCCCTACATTACTCCCCAGCACTTACATGCAATAGGGTGTTATGATTCCTCCAACATAACATAAATCTACAAAATAGAATACACAAGTCAATAAGTATTTCAGTTAAACGATTTTATGGAAATAAAGCATGAATAAAAGATCTATAAACCACATTTAAATCTTTTACCTCAATTCAGCTCATAAGCAATTCAGGCTAGGTACCCCCTGTAAGCCTTTAAATGGTGTTCGGGCACATGGAAACCCTTTTAGTCCGAAGATCTAAATTGTAAATGAGAAGAAGTGAAGAGGTTAAAAAAAATACCTGTGTAAATAACTGTGGAACATGTATTAAAATATCCTTTGTTTTTAATAAAACGTTTGTTTGTACCATGAAAAGGAGTTTTAATGTTAAAACAATAATTTATCCTTTTGTGTACTCCCTATTTCCTAGGACAGGCCCTTCATGTCAGAAGAGAAGCAGCTATCCAAGCATAAAACATCTACAACATCACTCGTTTTCCAAGGATGTGGTGGTTCTAAAAGTTGGATGTAGCTCACCTTTAATTGAAAAGAAAAATAGAAATAAACAAAAGTTGCACCGTAGAATTTCCATAACAGAAAGCTTTTAGTTCTGACAGAAGAACAAAAATGAATTAGCAACAACAGCACAGACACAACCAAGAACAGTCCACATCTCGGACTTTAAGAATCCAAACGTTCAACAATATTTTAGGTAAAGCATCATCTAATTTAAGTCTGAAAATAACAGTTTGTCTCTGAGGTCTGGGGTGTCATGCTGTAGTATGATTGTAGCTTGAGTACCACAGCAGATTAAATTGTTCTGTGTATATCATACTGTGTAATTAAATTTTGTGCTCAATCTCCATGATAAGACTCTTATTTGACAGCTGGCGATTGACAGGCATACTGTATTGGTGCCACGTTAGGGTTGATGCACACACCGTCATCTTCTGAAATCAATAGTGAATACATTCATCCTCTAAGCCTTAGGGACAGGATGAAGACAATAGTCATGAGGGAGTGATGCATCCTCCTCATCTTCCACATTGCTAAGACGCAGCTTAGGTGGTTAGGCCATCTGGTCAGGATCTCCTCTGGACGCAATGTTTCCTGCACATCAAATATAAATGGTTGGCCTCAAGGTAGACCCAATGTTTGATGGAGAATACTACCTCTCAACTGGCTTAAAAAATCTCTGCTCTCCCTCTGGATGAAAGGGAGGAGTTCAGGGTCTCTTTTTAGATTGCCGCCCCCAAGGCTCAGGTCCAGATAAATGGTATAAATTGTGTTGGTGAGCATTTCTACGGATTAATGGATGAATACTTTTGAATGCATACAAGGTAA